TCATTGAGGCCGGCTAGATCAGGCATGATCACAGCCGTAACAAGTACAAGTTAGTAAAAGTTGGTTGTTTTTAATATCTCCGTGCGTAACAAACCTGTAGCAGACACTCCAGTGTTCCATCCTCCGGCTTCCTTTTGTTAATCGACGACCAAGACAACCGTGCTAACCTAAAGGCACGCCACTAACGCACGGTCACCTCTCAGGTCACAGAAGCGCCCCTAACTGGCACTATTTCCCATGCGTCTGCTGGCGCACTTTCTTTTTAAATTAGGAACCCTTGCGATTATGCATCTGCCTCAGCCCTTGACATGTTCAACACTCAGCTAGTCGCTCCCTCATGCTGACATGGACATGCCACACGCGTTAAAAGAGCACTAACGCGCTCCCTAATGCACGCCTTGTTCTGACACAAGGGCAAACAGCTAAGTCGCGAAAACTGGCCTTGTATATAGAAAAAGTCAGTTCTCAGTTTGTTACCCTTTGCCATTAGTAGAAACGAAATTGGACTGTTTAAATAAAGTTTTTATCATATCCTTGACCACTACAAACGTTTTCAGTTATCTTACGCATGTTACCGAATTTGCTAACTTTGTACTCCACCCCAATTTCCACCGCCTTGTTAAGTTTTTTTTCTCTGTGATTGTTCATATTCCGTCTGTCTGGCAGGAGGCAAGTTATAAGTAACCCCAAACTGTACTAAGTACTTTCCAAGTACTATATCTTCATCAAGAGACAAGTTTCTTGGAAATTCCTTCCTCTAAACTGTGTCTTACCTCCTACCACGAAGCTAGTGGCCACTGTCGCATCGACTTTCGACAGCAAGCTTGTCGGCAACATAGGGCCTTGTTTGGTTAGTTTTTAAGATGGTTGTGGAGGTTGTTGTTCTTAGTATTATTAGCACTGAGTTGAGCCAATGCTGCCTTTATTTGAATGTCGACGAGTTAGAGAGAGATTCCTATGCCATAAGCGCGGGCAGCACGCGTCTCCTCTTTTTGTCAGACAATGTCAGTATGCAGGTTACTGCTGGACGCTCAGACTTGATCGTGCGTTGCGGAGTTCAAAATACCACAGTTTCTTAATGCCACTGCACCGAATCCTACGGTGTTTACGAGCACATACTACCAACAGTCCAAAATGCATCTTGCCACCCGCTACTCAAGTAGTGGTTATAATTCACATCGACTGTTGCGAACATGTCTGAGTATGCTGGTCCAACTCGATGCAATACTCGTGCCGTATACTTGACAAGGATAGCGAGAGTGGCTGTGGTGATATTCTTGCCATAGCCCCGCTGCGATCCATAATGCAAAATTCACAACCGCCTCACCAACCATATCACTACTAGGGGCATCCGTCTCGATGACCCCAAGAGTTTTCTACACGGAAGCTGATGATAACTGCTCTTGACGTATCATAAAATAGAATAAAGCTATTCTCTAGAGTTCATATTGACTGACGTGTTCGCGACTATTGCATCCCCAAGACCTGTTTATACTGGCTGCGTGCCCTTGTCGCAATATTTAATTCATGCCTTGCGAGACTCCGCGTTCAGCACGATGCGGCGCAGTCCCTACAGCTGTTACGCGACTGAAAAATGTCTGGGAACAATAGTTTGCCAGTGTCACAAACCAACGAGAGCCTTGACAATGGTGATATGGGACGTCAAGCCATTCAGCGAAGATTGCTTTTAAGTAGTTTACCTTTTCAGGTATTGCTCACTCAGTTCAGCCACCTATATCATGTTCCAATTTCAATTCGCTGTCCAACGATTCGGGATAAGCGTGAGTGCACTGGCTTATATGGCGTAATATCTCGGACGCACGGGCTACAGAAGACTTGATCCCTTGCTCACTCAAAGGAAGCGAGTACTCAGTTTTCGTTTAAGCGAGACTGCCACGAAGACACCCTAAGTATAAGACACTGTGGCCTGGTCCTTAATCGCTTGTAGAATCAAGCAGAATCGTTCGTTGACAGTGACGACTGTTAACACGAAATGCTAACTTAGGAATGTGTTTTTCTCCTTATAATGAGGAAAGTATGCATAGGATTGGCCTGACCGGTTATGCAAATGATGTATTAATTGACGTTTCACAGAAGCCCAATTTATCGTGCGTATCATAGTGTTCCGATATCATAACATTTATGGATGTCATAGGAGCCACATCTAGGGACTGCCATTGCAGTAAGACCCTGTTGGCAGACAGACATGCGAGCCAGGACCTTTAGGTCTTGCTAGTTTGATGTGCATAAGATTTATTACAAAGAGGAACTCATCTAATTGCCGGGTGTAAGGGCACACCAACATTAGTTTATCTTTTTCCCTCCCACGTACATCAGCGATCTGTCCACACCTTTCGGATGACTGTTTAATTGATGGAGTAAAATGGCTGAGGTGACGTGAATTCGTGTAGCCCGATCAACTCATGTAGCAAGCCATGCTGCGGGCAGCTTTCCAAAACGGGATTAAATGATTTCATGCCAGTTTTAACACCTCAAAGGAGAGTTACACCTATAAGCGCAGACCTCCTTTAAAATTTTCTGGAAAATGGCACGTGCTAGGTTGTCGGACATACTGATTTTTAATTTGTTTGTGCACCGATCTATTCCTCAGGATGCGCCCATTCCTGCTTCGAAAATTTCCAGGCAGCCACAAAATGACGAAAAGTATCTGATTTTTTTGCTGCCACTATTGTCAGGAATATAGCCGGAAAAATTGGTGTGCAGAATACATTCACGTTAACTTGATAGGCACGATAATACAGTTTTTATGTTGATGTTCGAAATATTAACCTTGGTTTCTCACTCCAGTCCGTCTTCACAAAAGTTTATCCTTTAATTCCTCTATAAGATTGTTGGATACTATTTCCGGGGTTGCCGGACACTCGCAGAATATGGAATTGGCCTGAAGTTAGCCAGAATGTATTCTTAGGCGGAGAGTATTTGATCACATTTTTCGTCGGAGCACTACATAGTCCGTCAAAAATACAACTGAAATGAGATATTTTTTCTTGCCGATGAAAATAGCTTAGCTACTATGTGCTGTGCATACCCGAGTTGTCACATCACCTCTTTCGGCGGCGACATCTATTCTTAAAATTAACATTTGCGAATGTGGTGAAAGATGACTGTAATTTTGGTTCTAACTCCGTGGCTTTCCATCAAAAGAATTGACATACTAACTAGCTCAATTTCGCTCAAAATCGGCCGCCCGTCAAATGTACAAGGAGGTGGTCATTGGCCGTATTCCGAATTTGCAGCACATAATCAGCACATAACCTGTTATTTAATTTTGACTGCCTTCTGTGTCGTCTTTCATTCGTCTGATTACTTCTCAGCCATGTTTACTTCATAGACTTGCCTACCATCATCACTTATTGACTTAACTATATGAAGCCGAGCCCTGGTAATCTAAGCATCCAGGGCATTCATAGTTAGGATAGGCAACCCTCCTAGTAGGAAGACAATCGCCACTGTCGTCGTTATATTCCCTCGTTTTTTCTCCCCTTCCTTCGTATATGTGACCTTCGCCCAGTACTGTGTCTGTTAGTGACAATGCACTATATTCCAGCGCCCCGAATGTCCGTTTGTGCTGTTTAAATGATGTAAGGCCTGAGTTTCTTAAGGCAATGTCTCGCTCTCTGTTGCAAGTTAAACTTGTCGTTCTCTCCTTAACCCAGTTTTCCTTTGATTTCTGGTGGCAATTATCGGGTATTTTATTTGAATTTTTGTCTATCTACAATTTTTGCCCTCATCAAAATTTCCCGACTAACCAACACATATTCTCAAATTTTACAGGTTCATCTTGTTAACACCCCCAGTCTGTCGTCATGTCCCAAAAACAAACTCCCAGAGATTTCCTCAAACTAATTATTGGACGGCCTGTTGTGGTTAAGCTGAATTCCGGTGCTGATTACCGAGGCAAGTTCCGCCGACTTTCTTAACTTACGTTTAAGGTGTCCTAATATCCCTCGATGGATACATGAATGTCGTTCTGGAACAAACGGAGGAGTATGTAGATGGTCAACTGAAGAACAAATATGGAGATACTTTTATCCGAGGCAACAATGGTATTTGCTTGTTTGTATTTTTCAGCTAACCGCTTTTTAGTGTTCTATATCAGCACTCAAAAGCGAGGAGGACTGAAGTGAAAATAAATTATGTAAATAAACGCCTTTACTATGAATTAACCTGTCCTAATTTCGCCTTTTTTCGGGTTAAGAGCAACCGCCTAATATACACAAAAAGGATTCTTGTCATTTTAGGTGCATGACGCCCAAGTAGCTGACTTTTTTTACTTTTTAGCTGACCAATAGTTGTGGGTAATCTGAGTAGAAC